AAAAAATACATTAAACAAGATTTGCCTGAGCATTATGTCCGAATTCCTTACCAAATTTGAAATAAAAATAAAATACACAGAACAAATACTAATAATAAAAATAAATAAAAATAAAAAGATAATTAAATTTAGTGAGTGCGCGAGCATGTTTTCGACACCGCCATCTTTGGCGATTTTTTATTTTTTTTTGGCATAGCTAAATGCCCTGAAAATTGACAGATGTGTACTTCACATAATACAAAACCCACTTAAAAAGTTTCAAAACATAATAAAATTGTCTAGACCCCGAACTAAAGTGAAAACAAAAAGTCAAAAGTGAAAAAAAACGTGGGCGAGCACGTTTTGACACCCCCATCTTTGGCGATTTTTAATTCTTATTTGGCTAAGCCAAATGACTTGAAAACTTATAGGCCTGTACCTCACGTCATAGAGAACGCATGAAAAAAAATTCAAAAAACTAAAAATAGTTTTAGACCCCGAAATATTTTTTGGCGGGGGCCAAACGCCGTCGGGTTCGGGCCCCGTCCGGGACCCCGATCGCCCGAACGTACGGAGGTCCGCCCGGGGGCCTCCGTACGTACGGGCTGGTAACCCTGTATATATATATATATATATAGAGAGAGAGAGAGAAAGAGAGAGAGAGAGAGGTTGAATGGCAAAATTGAAATATTGGTCAAATTGCGGCCGCAATCTATTTCGCAGTTGGAATGATTTTTATAGATTTATGTAGCGTTTTTCCTGGAAAGTACTCCAATTTTCAGGTTTTTTCACGCATTCTTCTGAGCACGAAAACTCACTGAATTTGAAGTACTTTTTTAGTTGGCCCAGGCATGGCTGAGTGGCAAAAATGGAAAATGTGTTGAATCGGCGCGACGATTATTTCGCAGTCTAAATGATTTTTTGTAAATGTTCTATTATTATTTCTGGAAAGAACACGACCTCATCTATGGTTTCTCAAAATTTCAGATTTTTGTGCTTGTTCGTCTGAGCACAGAAAATCGCCAAAGTTGCCTCTTGCAAAATGCCTGTTTCGTTGTGCCTGACCTCCCTGTTTTGAGAAGACGGGGCTCAACGCCTAGGCCTGAGGGCCCTTTTGCAGATCACATGCCCTCACTTCTTTTTGGGGTCCGCTTCTACCCGAGAACCGGTCCAATGCCCCCAGTTCTTTTTGGGGTCCACTTCCACCTGAGGACCGGTCCTTCATTTTTCCAAAAGTCCCGGTTCTACCAGAGCTAGCTGTAGGTAGTCCACAATTTTGCGAAGGACCGGTCCCCCAAATTTTTTTGCCCCCGAAAAACCCACTTGTGTCTTGGTCGCCCACCGCCGAAAATGCGACACCTTGACACAGACGCCGAAGCCCACTATACCGCAGCCTAAGGGCTGCGAACAGGTAATTGTCTACCGCGTGGGCGCGGGGAACGCAGCCCTAAGGTAACCAAATCAATGAGACTAACCACACCACTTCACTCCACTTCAATTTCAAGTACGGCACTTGAGCTGCGTCACAGGGTAATCGTCATTAAAAAATACTTGAGCCTGGCACGGTTCGACGTTACACTCCACTCCACACTCGAAACAGGAGCGGGAAAGTGGCAGAGGCTGTTGGCGCGAGGGAAGGGGGGATGTAAAACAAAGAAAA